AAATAATATATTATGATAATGATCAATATATTATTATATATTAATAAATAATATATTAATAATGATTAATTATTATTAATATGGATATTTATTAAAGATTATTAGAGTCATCAATTAATATTGATATTTCAGAGAGATATTTATTAATTTTTACAGATATAGTGATGATTCTTGATGAATATCTCCCCAAAAAATTTTCTGATAATATATTAAATATAACTTTTTTAAATATAAATTTAATGCTTATTATATTAGTTAATCATATTAAACAAGAATAAATAATAATTTTTATTAAAATTATAAGTATTAAGCAATATAATAATCTCTTGTCAAGTATAAAAGAAATAGAAAAATAAAAATTTTTATTATCTAAAAGATTATAAGCTCATAATTATCAAGAAAAAACATATATACAAAAAATTAAAAAAAATATTCTGAGTTATTTTATAATATAAATAATAAAAGTTTATATAAAATTTATTTAAAGATTCTTTAAAATAATTTAATATCTTTTTATAATATAAGTTATTTATTATAACTTGTTTAATATTAATTTTCTTTATTTAAATTTATTTTATTTTTTTAATATAATATGGATCAAGTTTTATTTTTTTGAATATTATATTCTTTAAATCAAAAAAAATATATTATAATCTAAATATAATATAATAATTAGTAATAAGTATTACAATTCCTAATTGACTATCATAATTATGTGATACTTATTTGTTATTAATCTTTTACTAAGTTAAAAATAGTTATAATTCAAAATTTACTAATTATAATTATATAATACTTATTTGTTATCTCATTAAAAATATTATTATTAGTAATGATCTCTTGTCAAGTATAAAAGAAATAAAAAAAATAAAAATTTATCATTATTTAGAAGACTATAAACTTTTAATAATCAAGAAAAAAATATACTTATACAAGAAGTTAAAAAAGATATTCTGAGCTATTTTATAATATTAATAATAAAAATTTGTGTAAGATTCTTTAAGATAATTTGATCTTTTTTATAATATAATTTGCTTGTTGATTTGAGAAAACATGATGTTTCAAAAAAAATAAAACTTGATCTATATTAAGAAAAGAAGCTATAAATAGAATTAAATAGAGAAATCAATAAATATTATGAAAAGCTCAAGACTACTCTGAAGGAAATTTAATGTGTTTGCTTTGAGGGGGTTGTAAGCTTAATGCCTTGAGAAATTAAAATAGCATTAGAGTCATATGAAGAGCAAATAATGTATTAGCTAGTGATAAAAATATTTTATATACATAGAACAGAAATAAAATAAATCCGAAACTTTATTTTTTAAAAAATTGAGCGTTATTTTTTGTGGTAAGATAATTCTACATGTATAATGTAAATTGTAAAATCACATTATGCAAGTTACATAAATCATATGAATTCTGCAAATTCTTCAAAATCACGTTATACAACATCCGAATTCTGTAAATTCTGCATTTGCAGAAACTGGCCAAGTAACAATTTATTAGAAAATAAAGAAATTTAAATAATTTAAATGAAATTCTATACTAATATTGGGTATTGTTAAGAGTGTTCGAAGTACGTAACTAAGACGGCTTGCGGCTATTGTTAGGTATTATTTTATTATTTTTTTGTTGTTTTAATTTTTAGCTGTTAGTTTTCGGATTAGGCCCAGGTAGTACGAACCGATTACCTGCAGGTCACGTCGGAAGGATTACGGTTCATGTCAAAGGTAAAAATACTCTATGTTTTGTTTCGAGTAAACAACATCTACATGAAGTTTGCATCCTTTTTTAGACTGGCATTTATTTCTTTCAACATCTGAACACACTTAAAACATGTTCAAAATTTAAGCATCAATTAAACAATGTTTTGAAAAAAATACTTTTGAGGCTTTTCTGAAAGAAAAGTTTCAAAATATTTATATGACTTTGGAGAACCTATTAAAATCGAACCAAGAGGAATTTATTCAATAATAGATGATCAGCAAGATACTATGTTTTAAATTTTACATTTTTGATTTTTTTTTAAATTAGAAATTACAAAAACTAAATGAGGAATTACAAAAAAATGAAATTTTTAATTAGAAATTACAAAAAATGAAATTTGTATATATGTTGTTAGGTGTTAAAGTAAGGGTAATTTTTGGCCGAAAAATTTTAAGTGGATTCCTGATCCACAACTTACAATATATACTTTTCAAATCTAATTTTTATAATTTGTTCTAAATTTATTGTGCTTAACGGTGAGTTCGTTATGCTTAATGTCGAGTACTTTTTTTAGCAACGAGTTCGTTTTTAGATTCGTTGGCGTCTATTTTTAGTAAATTCCGACAAGTTCGTCATTTTCAGCGTCGATTTCGTATACGAGTGGAACATTCTCTCCGAGGATTTCGTTTTGCTGAGCGTCGAGTTGCTTAGGCAAAGTCGAAATTTGTAAAACAATAACCAGTCCCATATACTATGGAATTAATCTCTTCAGGGATTTCATTTCGTTGAGCGGCGAGTTGATTCTCATTGATGCTTGACTCTTCAAGACTACCGTATTGTTGATAGTTATTCAAGGAACCACTTTCAATAACCTCTTGAGGGATTTCGTTTTGTTGGGCGGCGAGTTGATTCTCATTGATGTTTTGTTCGGATACAGGAGGATAAATTTCGTATTGCTGATAGTTGTTCAAAGAGCCATTTTCAATAACCTCTTGAGGGATTTCATTTTGTTGGGTGACGACTTGATTCTCATTGGATACAAGAAGAGAAATTCCTTCAAAAGTTACATACTGTTGATAATTGTTCAAGGAGTCACTTTCAATAACCGCTTGAGGGATTCCGTTTGGTTGGGCGGCGAGTTGATTCTCATCGATGCTTGACTCTTCAAGACTTCCGTAGTTATTCAAGGAACCACTTTCAATAACCTCTTGAGGAATTTCGTTTTGTTGGGCGACGAGTTGTTTCTCATTGATGCTTGACTCGTATGCAAGAGGATAAATTTCTTCAGGAGTTGCGTAATGTTGATAATCAATAACCTCTTGAGGGATTTCGTTTTGTTGAACGACGAGTTGTTTCTCATTGATGCTTGACTCGTATACAAGAGCATTAATCAAGGAGTCATTTTCAACTGTCATTTGACATTGATTGCTACTGATATTGCCATTAACAACTATGTTGTTTTGAGCCAACTTAGCTTCTTTAACTCGTTTGTCAAATTTCTCTTTAACTCGTTTGGCATATTCAAAATATTCATTTTTCTTACTTGAATCCATTTCTTCCCATTCTTGACCCAACATTTTAGAAATGTCCGGCTGGGGTAGTTTTCGATTTTCCAGAATTTCCTGGCCACGACGTATTCGATAAATAATAAATGCATTAGGTGACTTAGTCGGCTCTTTTCCTTTACGAGTCCTAGGTTTTAGAAATTCTTCTATGGGAACTTTTGATAAAGGAACGAATGCTTTACACATGGGGATTAATCAATAAAATTGAATTCTTTAGAATTTATAAAGCTTTTTAAAAATTCAAAGATATTGTTTGAGTTATCCAGATTCCGTTTAAATAGAAAAGATTTATATTGTATATTATATGTTATTATTCACATTGAACATTGAGATATAAAAACTTTTTTGCAATACAAACGTAATACATGTATTGGCATTTGGCCAGAGTATAATGCCAACAATGCATATACGTAGTGTAAAATTGAAATCAATATACCTTCTCATGAGTCCCTTGTAAGTCAATGTCAATGAATAATGCATTTGCAGCTACATTTGCATTGTGAAGTTGAGATTTGGAGTGTTATTAAGATGTGCCCCAAAATATAAATCAGTAATGTAAAGTGCATAATGTGTAAAATTGAAGAGTAATATACCTTCTGTGAGTTCCTTGTAAGTCGATGTCAATGAATAATGCTGTCTCAATAATGTAATTCAATATTGGCATTTCAAAATTTGCATTATGAAGCTTGCGGTACAACCAATATATGAATTAAATCGAAGAACGTCCAAATAAAGTACTTGCACTACATTTGCATTTTGAGATTGAGATAAAGTATTAATAAGATGTGCTCCCAAAATATGAGTCAGTGCATAATGAACAATGTATATGATCTGATCTTAAAAATGCAATAACATAATGCTTTGATCTTTAAGTGTGATCTTTTAACTTATAAAATAAAATGTTCGACCGAATTTTTTATGAAATTTAAATTAGATAGTCACTTGCCTAATTTGTGATCCTGAAACATACTGGTGTCAGTTACCATATCTACGAAATAAGCTATCCTCTTGTACGGGTTTTAGACTTGAAAAAAATGAAAGTAGCTTATTTTTGGGGTAAATTTATATAGGTTCGGCATTTAAAGCATTGATAGCTTATTAACCCAATTTAGGATTGATGCGTGGCTTCGATTACCATAAATTTTAAGCATTATATACAAAACCCCAAACATAAATTACCAGAATATCGAAAAAATATATAGTAAATCATAGTAAAATACGAATATAAAATTTTTTAATTCTATTAAATGATTTTTTATTTTTCATATTTTAAAATTATAGAGACTTTACAATTAGAGCAACTTTTTCAGAAAAACTTCAAAGAATCTGAAAAAACATATGTGAAACTATAGGTTATTATCTTTTATTTTAATATGAAAATAAAAGAGATTAATTAATAGAATTAAAGACTTTTTATATCGAGAGAATTTCGTATTTTACTATGTTTTGTTATATATTTTTTTCGATGTTCCGGTGATTTATGGTAGGGATGTGTATTAAGCACGCTTAAATTTTAGTGTCAAAATTTATTGATTATAATGATCTAATCTTTATAACTTCTTGATTTGAAAAAATCCGATTTTAAAATTATCACCATTTAGCTAAAATTTTCCCCGCTAAATGTTGATAGTTTACGGTAACCTTTTTTCGAAAAAGTTATTCGACAAAAATTATTGTTCTGAAAACTAACTGAAGTAAAACAACGCGAAGCGAAATTAAATTGAAATCGTATTTGCAAGTAAGCTGAGGCTAAGCTCAGACCTTATATACATGTATACTTTAATATCAAAAGATACATGTACTTTGTGGAGATGTCAAATTCCTTTGTCAAAATATCAAAGAATGTTTTTTGGGATTAGCAAAAGCTACTTCTGCATTTGCATTTCAAAGACCAAAAAACATTGTAATATCTTTAGTATCTTTACGCGCTGTAACGATACCCTTCGTTTCACAAGTCTTTTATAAGATAGCTTATAGAACAAAATCTATACAAGATTTTCTACGTAACGGTAACTTAATGTGCGAAAAAGGAAATAATGATAAGCATTTTGTGATGTGAATTGATAAGTCACGCCATACATAAAATGAAAACATCAATAATGATAATGCACGCATTGTCGTTTCCTTTATTTAGATTTATTTAGATTAACATGTAACTTTTTTTATTAGTTGCAAATTAATAAATATACCGTACGTCATGGACAATTAGCACCAAGCGTTGCTTCATATGGTACATTTCAGCTAGCACTTGATACAAAAGGCATGACTCATGTATACTGTATGTTTCTCGAACATTGACGAAATACTTATATATCAGAGAAATATACAAATTTTGTTAAATGTACAATTTATAAAGTTTTCGATTGTTATATTACAAATACGTATATAAAACTTCTCAGAATGCATCTGTTTTTCATGTAAATTAATGAAAACCTTATAAACTTTTCAATATGCTGTGCTGTTAGTTTTGATATAATTTAAATTCAAGATTTCGAAAATTGATTTATTGATTGCAGTCATTTCTCCTTTAAATCATATTCTAGAGTATGATTTAAAGAAGTCGTGACTATATAGAGGTCAAATTTCTATGTCTCATAATAGCTGAAACTGAGAAAAAAGAAGTGGAACAATGGATGATTATACTGTTGGTTATCTTATTAAAAATATAATTCATACAGTTACCGCCATAAATAACGAGAATCATTTAATGGTTCTTTTCTTTCCCATATTTTAATAATTTCAAATTCAATCAAATTTGAATACAAAATGCACATAATAGGAAAAAGTTTTTTTATTAAGTGAATTAACCTTGACCTCTTAAGTAAAGATTTTCAGAATATTTATGTACATTTGTCCTGAAATTTTCATTCAAACCAGACTTAAAAACAAAATCAAGATGACATTTAGAGAAATTCTATCTTTTTCTAATAAATGTCAGTTTTGGAGAGTTCTTGGACGTCCAGAATGCGAAAAAGTTGAGTTTCTCGATTTTTTTTAAATTGAATAATATACTGGACACAAGTTAGCTTTGCTAAAATTAGGATATCACGCATACCACACTTCCAAAGCTCATTGTCAGTTGTTTGTCGATCGGCAAAAGGGTTTTTACCCCATGAAAAAGTGCATGATTTGGCTTTTTTTAGGGTTTGTTTTTCTGGTACACTGATAAACAAAGCATTCTTAACATATGGTGAGTACGGTCATGTTTTTTATATGTACATGTGCATTCCCCATTCTCATTATTTATGGCGGTAACTGTACATGTATTTGAAACTGATTTATAAGCTTTATTTGAATTGAAATAAAAAATCTGCGATCACATAACGATAAAATGTGCTTGCACGTAATATCGATTAATACATATAATTAGTTGATAAATATAGATTGTTTATCTAATATTATGCGCGCTGATACAATCATAATGATAAAAATCCTGACTTTAAGCGTCTCGTCATTACTAATCATAAAAATAGATAATTCTACTAGTTAAGGATTCTAGAATATAAAAAACATGAATTTATTTTTTAAAAGATTTTCAAAGCACGCATTATCTATTTGTATTCTGTATCAATGAAGTCATTTCTTTATGATGTGCCTATGCGCATTATGCGCACACCTATATGCGCATTATACGCATAGTTACTAACTGATATCGTAAATGCCCATACACAATTATGCATATGGTTAAGTTCATAAATAATCACCAATTAAGGCATTTGTGCTCAATAAATAATGATAAACCAACGCATTTATACAGAACATACATATAATGATAACAATAATATCTACATTATTATTGTTGTACATATTTTATCATTATGGCTTCTCGAAGTTCTATATAAGAACATTTTAATCAAATTGGTCATATTGCTGGATTTCGACAACAGCGTGCAGAATGTAAATACTGTGAAAATCCCAAATATCAATGCAATAATTCAGTAATTCGG